ATTTAATTTCTGACAGTTTATTTTGTACATTAGAAGTAATTCTCATAAGCATATTTTCGTTAACAAAATTTAAATATTTCTTTGTATTTAACATTTAGTTTAGATTATTTAAAATTAGTTTGTTATTTTCAAAGAATGCTTGAATTAAGTTTATACTTAATACTACTATACTCCAAAGATCGTTTGAAATTTTTACTTTTTCTTTTTTATGGTGTAACGTTACAAATAGTAACGCTACATGTTTTAGTACAGAAAAGATATGTTAGACACACATGAGGAATTATTTTGTTTATTACTCACACATTCGTTCATACTGTATATTGCATATATCGTACTTGTAGAATTCGTAAGTTTATTAGTTTCGTATTTCTTGTAAGTGTCTTCTGGTTACTGTTATATTTAGTTTTCATTATTTTGATGTGTCTTTTGGTCACTGACTATGGGTTGGTGTTTAGCTAAAAGAGCAGACTCGGTTAGCTTATTCCATATTAAAGTATGTTTAGTTAGTTAGTGCAGGTTTAGGGGGTATTTTACCTTATAGTGCCTGTTGATTTATTTGGGTCAGATCTATCTTGTTGGGATTTGTAGATTCTTTAAGTTGATTTCGTGTGTGTGACTTGTCAATGTAATTTCTTTCTTCTAAAATGGTTATAGGTTAGGTTATTAAATATGAAAGGGGTTTAGATTAGATTTATAGGATAAGTAGTTTTTAGCTTATTTGTGCCGTGTTTTTTATTAACGTTACTCACTTATAGTAATTGTTTTCGGGTCGTTACAGTTTTAACGATAAATTTCTTCATTTGTTTTGTTGACATTTGGTAATACGCTTTGTAGTACTTCGTGGTAATCTTGGTTGCATATCGACAGTTTTAAATTTTCGAATTTTACAAATATGAATTTGCACGGAGTATGCGCGACTTGAAAGCGTCTTTTTGGCTTCAGTCGACGAGAACGGTTTGCGGCTCACGTTGAGGATCTGTATCTCTTGTAAAAAGTGGCTATTATGTATTATTGCTGTGTTTTGAAATGGTTGTGTGTTACTCGGCAGTCCCTTATATCGGCGAGTAATAATTGCTGAAAAGCAGTTCACACTGGGTTTATTTTGTGCGGAGCAAGGCACGTGCAGGTATGTTGAGGTTAAAAAACATTATCTTTAATTTTCTAAGTCATTCTTCTAATTAGCATGGTAGATTCTCAAGTGAATGAAACGTTGGTAAATTCATTGACTGTCGAAGGCCGTATTTTGTGAAGCTTATTATTTTTTTATAGAAGAAACCGGAGATTTCCGTTAGTAATTAGGTTAATCTATTTAAGTAGGGTATTTATTTGGTTTTAATTTCGAATAGGGTTTCTTCTGGGGGTTTTCTGTATCTGGAGGTTTCATGGATTTATAATGGTACCTTGTATCACCTAGTCGCTGGTTTTTGCAACAACATGGATTTGGTTTCTGCCTTCATGGCCCCTGTCCATCCGGAGTCAAACGTTGGCATGAAAGTTTCCAAATTGGGGTGTCCACAGTTGAAGAGCCCAGGCGCACTTCGATTACACCAGGACTAGAGTACATTCAGTCACGAATGGACCACAGGTTTTATTAAACTTTATCTTAATTAAACATCATCGATAAACCACTTTTTGTCATAAAACATATTATATTTCATTTAACAATAAGCCTAAGGAGTAAGTTATAAAACTTTATTGATAGTTTCTGTCATTGTATAATTTATTTAAATTTTAAACATATCACCATTTTTTAACTTGATCATTGTGTAAACCATAGCTATGGGTATGAAACCTGAACTATGTAATATATAGAATAAAATAATATTGATAAAATATATAAGTGAGTAACTAAATATTGAGTTTAACTTAATGACCGTGAACATTAGTTAATTTACTCTGTCATTCACGGTGGCGCCTACCCAAAGTGTAAGTATGAGAAATCAACGAACCATTGACCTTTGCCTCCAGACTAGTGAGCTGCCGGAGCATATAGCCAGCCTCAAGTTGGTTATAATGGTATAAAATACCTAATGTGTGATTAGTTTCCTTATCTCTATATTGGGGTTTCCAACGGGGGTTGACTTAATTATCTTAACCGTTAGTAGTAGTTGTATTAGTTTTTTTCTGTAACAATATATTTAAAATTAGAATTAAGCTTATAAATTAAATTAAATATATGGCTCATTCTATATCAAATCACCAAATTTTAAAAATTGTATTTTTTGATTCAGCTAATTTTTAACAAGTTACAAAAAATCGCAACTTGGCAACTGGGCGAGTAAAGACAGATTATCAATTCACCTACATTTATTTCATAATAATGAGCATTGTAGTGATAAATAATTAGTGGAAAGCGAAGCATAGTGGTCAATAGAGAAAGAAGCTTAGTGCAGCACAAAATTTAACGAAATCAAACTGAAAACAAACAAAAGAGCAAAACAAGTAAGTGAAGGTCAAGCCGAGGTCACTGAAATAGCAAAGCAAACGCGGAGACTACGGCGAAATAAATTGCGGCGTTGCCGAATTGGGCAAAACGCAGCTAAAGTAGGTACATACAAAACAAATTCACGGATCAAACAAATTTGTTAACAAACATACCGTTTCGATAACAATTTAACACAAAATGGGGACGGAGTTCCAAAAAATAGAGAACATGTTTGCACAAATAAACGTCAAACTACAAGCAATGGATGAAAAACTCGAATACTTGGTTACCGAAAATAAGGAAATGAAAGAACAAATAATAAACCAAGAATTCGGAATTGCGGCCTTGGAAAGAGAGACTAAAAGAAAAAACATCATCATAAGAGGAGTAGAAGACAAAGAAAACGAAAGTTGAGAGGAAACAACTAATGTTTCAACACAAATAGTACAAAAACTAGGCGTAACTATTAGCCAAAAGAATCGGCAAATATAGAGCAGATGGACAAAGACCAATAGTACTGAAGCTAACAACAGGAACCAAGAAGGCAGAAATACTTAGAAACTCTAAAGGACTAAAAGGATAAAAAATCTGGCTAGACGAAGACTATATAAAAGAGGTGCAAGAAGAAAGGAAAATACTGATACCGAAACTAAAAGAGGCCAGAGAAAAGGGACACAAAGCGCAACTGAGATATAACAAATTAATAATCAACAATGTAATATGGGTATGTCTCATTTAACTTTAAATTCCAGATATAACTTTTTAAGTATTTGTGATTGTTCAAAAAATTATATTTTTTTGGATTTTTAAATTCAGTAAACCTTTGCAAGTATATACCTACCAAAAGCAGTACAGTTTTTACCCATTTTATCTTTTTTTTTAAGGTTTTAAGCAAAATATCAAGTCATCTACGCCACCAATTAAAAAAATATTTAAATTTAAGTTTAAAATTAATTAAATAGTTTTTAGTATATATCATTATTTATTATCAAAATACAGTACGTACTTTTATTTCTCGTCACCTTCGTTGCCGGTTTTATTAGACTACTGCGTTTTTTTATATATAAAAAAACGCAGTAGTCTAACAAAACCGGTAACGAAGGTGACGAGTAATAAAAGTACGTACCTGCACCAACAGAATCACGTAGAATTTTCTGGAACAACGACAATAAATAAACCACCTACACGTTTCCAGTAGCAAAATAAGACTGATTCACTGCTCTAGTCAAGAACGTTTGACCAAAAATCATCCCCACCAATATTCCATTTCGTAAATAATAGTAAGTGGCGTAGATGACCCTTACCTTATGGGACACAATATCTAGAGTCTTAAAAACTAAACAAATTAAAAAAAAAACTAAAATTTGATAAATTGGGTGAACTTGATGTTTACTCTATGAGTTTATAAGGTTAAACTTAAGAAACAGTGCAATTTACATTTAAAAAACTATTTTGCACATTTAGTTTCGGGTGAGGGACCGGTAGTGTAGGTGACATTATAAATGTTTCCAATAAAATAAAAATATATTTTATATATTTTTTACAATTTATTTTATATAAATGCGCTAAAGAGCATGATAGTTTTTAAGTGATGTCCTAAAAACTTGCAAAATATTATTATTTAAAAAAATATTTGGCCGGGACAGGTCATTTTTAAGTTAAATGAGACATACCCATATATGAAAGCAAATATTTTAAAAACGAAAACAAACAAGACACGAATGCAAAGAAAATAACTGCAAACGAAAGATCACCCAACAGCAAAGGAACAGGTAGCAAAAATTTCAAAAAACTACTAAACAGAGACACGGCTGGATGCAATAAAGACGAAACTAGCAACGAACAAGGCAATGAGTGGAAAAAACATAAGAAAAATAAAATAACAAAAGATAAAATTTGGAAGATTGGCACATGGAATGTTAGGAGTTTGACAGGCAAAGAAAACGAATTAGTGGAAGAGCTAGAGAAAACAGACATGGATATCTTAGGAATAACAGAAACAAAAAAGAAAGGCAAGGGGGAAAAAACACCTAAACAGAGGACATATCCTATTATACTCTGAAGTTGACCAAAATCAAAGGGCAAAGGAAGGTGTAGGGTGCATCGTGAAGCAGCAAAACCAAAAATATATAAGAAGCTGGAAAAACAAAACAAAACGACGATAATAGTAGTATATGGACCGTCAGAAGACGAAAGAACAGAGACAAAAGATGAATTCTGGGAAAAATTGGCCGAAACGATAGAAGAAGTAAGAGGAAGATTAATTATAATAGGAGACTTAAATGGAAGGGTCGGAAAAGCAGACGAAGAGTCAGGAGGAACAATAGGAGCACACGGTGAAACTGTCCGAAACAATAATGGTAAAAGACTGATTGACTTTTATCTAATGAATAATTTGATTATAACCAATACATTCTTTAAACACAAGGAAATACATAAGATAACAAGAGAGGTAGCAAACAGGGGAGAAAGGTCCATAATAGATTACGTAATAATAGGCAAGGACTTCAGGAAAGAAGTGCATGATACGAGGGCAAGAAGAGGGGCCGAATTATACACAGACCAATAACTGGTAATGACAAAAGTAAAAATAACAAATTGCCGAGACGCTGTACAAAAAAAGAAGCAAAGTGAAAAGGAAGTGATACAAACATATAAACTAAGACAAAAAGAATGTGCAGAAAGATACAGAGAAAAAATAGAGATAGAAATGGCCAAAATTAAAGAAAATATCAATATAAATACCTTAAAAGAGCAATGGAAGATATTCAAAGAAACAATAATCGAGACAGCGAGAATAGAATGCGGATTAACAAAAATAAATAAAGGTAAAAAGCAGAGAAGGAGGTGAAGTAAGAAGAAATAAAAGCAGAAATAAAGACAAAAAAGAACAAATGGATCAAGTATTTAAGCAATAGAAACAATGAAAACTATAATGCATATAAAACACAAAGAATAAAGGTTAAAGAATTGGTTAAAACAAAATACATGGGAAGAATTTGGAGAGAAGATGGGGCAAGATAGCAAAGGTAACCAAAAACTTTTCTACAAAGTACTTAAAAACATTAGAAAAGGGAAAAGCCAGAGAACAACATACTTAAAATCCAAAGATGGAAATATATTAAGAGAAGACGAAGATACACGATGGAAAGAATACTTCAAGGAATTATTAAACATTGAGCAAGTAAATAGAGAAGGGGATGAAGAGATAAATGAAAATACAGAACCAAATAAACAAGAAGAATTTAATACAAAAAGCTTAGCTGATGCAGTAAAAAGGCTAAAAAGAGGAAAAGCAGCAGGGCATGACGGAATAACAGCAGAAATGTTAACAAACTAACACAACTTTTAAATAAAGTAACAAAAGAAGAACACATGCCGAAAGACTGGGAAATTGGAATAATAGTACCGATTCATAAAAAAGGTGACAATAGAGACTGCAACAATTATAGGGGTATAACATTACTGAGCATTGTAGCAAAGGTGTATGAAAGGCTAATAGAAAATAGACTAAAAGAACAAACAGATGAAGGATTGGAACAATCACAGAGCGTCTTCAGAAAAGGAAGAGGAGTACAAGACCATATTTTCCCAATAAAACAGATAATAGAGAAGAGTTATGACGAAAAAATATACGTAGCTTTCATAGACCTGGAAAAAGCTTTCGACAGTGTACCAAGAAAAGAAATATGGAAGAGCTTGGAAAAAAGGGGAGTCAACGGACATCTAATAAGGATCATAGGCAGTATATACAAACATACAAGAAACTACGTCAGAACCAACAACTTAGAGTCGGAATAATTTAAAACCAAAGAAGGATTAAGACAAGGTGGAGTAGCCCAACCCTATTCAATATAATATTAGACGACATAACAAAATAAGTGAACGAGAAAGCCAAAAAACTATTAATAGGGTATAGAAATATTATTCCAATATTTATAACGGAATGTGCCTTTGCCGACGATCTAATGATTTGTGCTAAAAACGAAAAAAAACTACAGGAAAAATTGGAAATTTGGAATACGGCGCTCAGAAAAAGGAACCTAAGAATAAATATAGCCAAGACTAAAACAATGGTAATCGGAAAAAACAGACACTTTCAAGTATCTCGGAGTAACAATAAATAAACAAGGAAATAACGAGGCAGAGATTAATAACAGAATAGAAAATGCAACAAAATTGTACTATTCCTTAAATAACGACTTCATAAGGAAAAAAGAAAACAACAGAAAATCAAATTACAAGCAAGCGAAATGAGATACCTGAGAGCAGTAACTAGAAGGGACAGAATACGCAACGAAACAGTAAGGGCAGAATTAGCTAATCGTCTATCCTTAAATAACTCTAAATCACAAAGTATTAACTTCACTCTCAGGAATGAAAGTAATGTTAAACAACAATTTCTACCTCAATCTGCAATGGAAGCCAAGTTTCTTGGAGTACACTTAGATGCAGGTTTAACCTGGGAGCAACACCTTGCCAATCTTTCAAAAAAACTATCCCGTCAACTTTTCTTGTTTAGGAATCTTGTAAAGGTTACTTCTAAAGAAACTCTTTTAACAGCATACCACAGCAACTTCCATTCTCATTTAACTTATGCTATTCTTTCCTGGGGTCATTCTTGTCACCTTGAAAAGGCATTTGGACAACAAAGAAAATGCATACGTATTATCTCTGGGCTTGGCTATAGAGAGGACTGTCGAAATTACTTCAAGACTCTAAAAATTTTAACTTTACCTTGTGCTTACATTATGCAGTGTTTGTTGCACATTAAACAAAATCTTGATCAATACAGATCACATACTGATATTCACAACTATCCCACTAGAAACAAAAACAATCTTGTACCAGACTTTTGCCGGCTTGAGAGATCCAGAAATGGTTCAAGGTATTTAGCCATAAAGTTCTATAACTGTGTACCAGCTAGAATTAAAGCTCTAAACTTTAATCAATACAAAAGACAAATCAGGAATTACCTTATTCTGAATGCCTTTTTTTCATATGAGGAGTACTTCAAATCAAATTTTAATCTGTAATGTTGTCGTTATTTTTATATTTATTTATTTTATTTGACCTGTAAAAATACTATTCTGTATGTTATTACTAATAAATTATCTTATTTTATCTTATCTTATCTAGATGTGGAACCAATACTCGACAGCATAGAAAAGCAACAACTGAAATGGTTTGGTCATATGGTGAGGATGGAGGAGGACAGACATGCAAAAAGGATATGGCAAACAAAAACAATACAGAAAAGACCGAGAGGCAGACCGAACTAAACATGGAATGATGTAGTAGCAGAAAACCTAGAAAAGAGGAACAAGACATGGAATGAAGCAAGAATAATGGCAAGAGACAAGAACAGCTGGACCTACGGGTAAAATAAGTTTTTGATTATATATATATAAGTTACAAAAGAACCTAGAAACTAAAACTATTTTAATATTTAGAACATAAAATTTACTAAAACGTAATAGGGTAAAAGTTCTCTTGAATTCAGGGGGTACAGCGCCTTCATCTAAAAGTTCATACTGCCAAGGTACTTCTCTCTCTGATACAAAATAATTGGCCAGGTCATCTCGCAAGGCTCTTGTGGTACGACCAGCATTGTTGGAACCTATTTGTCCAATAGACCTCAGGGTACCATCAGGAATATTTCTCCATTGTCCAAAATGGAAAACACCGTTTTTATCTACATAATCGACATATCCAGTAGGACAATAACGCCGGGCTCCCATAGGTATATCTTTTTCCCGCTTTTGAAGATAATTATGCAAAACAAGGGTTGCTTTCACAATTTCCTCACATGTGTCAATATTCCCAATAATGGGTTTTCTTAAACACCGCCATCGCTGAACCAGTATTCCTAATGTGTTTTGTATACACCTTCGTGCCCGTGATAGCCTTTAATTAAATATGCGCTTCTTGCGTGTTAAATTTTTTCCAGGATAAGGTCTCATTATATGCTGATGTAACGTAAAGGCTTGATCTGCAACAACAAAATGTGGAAATTCCTTATCTTCACCTGGTAGGTTTAGGTAATGGTATTGGTAGCTGATCATTTAATAATGCTGTGATCCAACACCTCCAACATCAACATAAACAAATCTATAAAATGCATCGCATGTTGCCATTAGCACCAAACTAAATGATTTTTTGTAAGAAAAATAATCAGAACCACTGTGTGGTGGAGCCTGAGTGTTAACATGTTTTCCATCTAAGGCCCCAATACAATTTGGCATATTCCAGCGTTTATAAAAGCCTCTCTCTATCTCTTTTTTACTTAATTATGGCAAGTATAATGGCATTAAAATTTTCCATAGGATGTCACATGTCTCCTTAATAACTTTATGTACTGTAGTTTTACCTACATAATAGTCCCATGCGATCTGTTGCATAGAACATCCTTCAGATAAATAACTGTAAAGAAATTACAATTAAAAAAATTAAAGGAAAGCCCATGCATAAACTCGCTAACTCACTGTAATGTCATTGTTAAACGGTGACTTGGTGAGAGTGGATTTTTTGACAATGTCTTTTGAAGTTCAGGCCCTACAATAGCCAGCAGGTGGTCAAACAGTGCAGGCGTCATGATTCCTCATAAACTGCACTAAATTTGCAAAATGCTTTCTTGTCCGATTCAAAGGGCGTACACTGTACCTTCGACGGCGACGTGAATCACGCTTTCTATAAGACCAAATACCTACAATATTAGTGCCTACAGGACCAACATTTAGAATCATTTTATATCTTATTATTATTATTATTATTATACATAGAATCATTTTATCTTACCTACTACAATCAAAAAAAGCATTAGCATCATCATATCTTCTTCGTTTGGATACATTTTAGATTAAACTAGTAAACACAGATTATAAAAGAAGTAAATCCCTATAAAAACGTTGATAAACAAAAATATACGCATTCACAAAACACAGCGGTAAAATTTCAATGTCAATTGTCATTTTAATGTTGGTAGTACCAACTTGATAACACGTGTAATTTTTATCGATTTTGATTGATTGCTCCTTAAGTTTTAAGTCTTAAGAAAAATGCTGCATGAACGCTACATTTTTTTCGCTTAATTTTTAATTCTTAAATGTAAAGTTTTAAGTCTGCATAAACCCACCTTTAATTATCTGCTGCTAAAATTCTGGTTTTTGCGAAGCTGTTGGATGTTAACTTGCTCTGTTTTTTTGTTTAACTTGTTGTTTTTGCGTTCGGTAAGGTTCGAATTACTTTTCAGTGTTGCGTTAACTTGTTTTTCCGGTTATTTTCGTAGGAATAAAGTTTTTTCAAAAGATATTAAAAAATCGATTTGATGAGTGGAATTTTCTTTATCAAAGGTTGTGATTAGTTTACTAATTTCTGTGGGGGATATTTTACAATTGTATCCGAAATTATTATGTTCCACATTATTAGTTAAGTTCAAATTATGCTTCATAGAATTAACCACCATTACCCAATCGCACTATGTCTTCTTGACTCGGTGGCGGATTGCTGTGGCCCGCTGTTTCTTCACCACAGTATCTACACTCATCGTAGTTTAAGCTGTTCGCTAGAATAATCGGCAACGCTGTACTGTGCGTGCCATTTGAATTGGTACCGTAATTCGCGTTATCGTGACTTTCGGACAAATGAAAAGGAAAATTCCAACCTTTGGAATCCTTTATATTTATACCCTATGTTGTTCTGAATTGGGCGGTGTGCAATTTAAGCCTTGTCCACAGCCACTTGAACTTGACAATCTTGATAAATTAAACAAATTTTCGGACCATACTGTATATGTGTTTGGCCCCGATTTTGGTGGCGGCGTATGTATCTCCATTTTGGTTTGAAACTCAGCACCAAAAAAAACTTAACTTAGCTCCACTTTGTGAGCCAGTTGCAATGAAACTTGCTTCTGCTGGTAATCTCAGGGGTTTGTAGGGTAGTTTGGTTTAAATGGGTTTATCTGCAAACTATAAAATGGCATATTTAAGAATAATAATCCCCAAAAAAATCATGTATAACTCACCTATAAAATGAATATGCCAACCAGATACTTTTTTAAGGAATAAAAAGGGTGCTTTTAACCCCACAGCTCATTAAATGTTGCACGAAAAATATTTAATGGTAACACACCTAGCAAATTAACGTTTTATTATATATTTGGGGAAAAAACAATAATTATTTAATTTAACTACTGAAACCGGGTAGCGGAGCCTACTCTGCACAGAGCACAGAGGCGGTACCTGCAATAAATAAATAAATAAAGGACAAACAATAATTTGTATTACTAAAAACAATATAAAATTACGTTTGTCTATTACATATTATTGTAGTTACCGCCTCTGTGCTTGGCACGGCAGTACTAGCCAGGTAAAGAACTTTGTTTTGCTACAAAATAAAAAAAATACTTTTTTTATTTATAATATTTTAATTGAAATTAATTTTTCTTTCTTTTGAATTTTAATTCATTTGTTTAGTCGTTTGCCAAGTCTTGTGCCACATCCAACAACCCAATTTTACCACCTTTCCTTTAGGGTAAATTGTAGTGGTTGCGGAGTAAGTTGTGGACAGTATGGTACAGATTGGCTTTCAGGAGGTGACTAAATGGTAGGAGGAGAAAAGTATTAAGGAAGTTGAACTGTGTAAGGTATACCAATTCAATATTAAAGTTATCTTTGTTTGAGGAACTTAAATTTGTTCTGAAAAAAATAATAAATATTATTATTTTTAATATAAACATAAACAGAAAATATTAAGAAAAAATATTTAGGGGTTTATACTTTTTGGAAAATATCGCACATTTTTTAAAATTCTACCTAAAATTCTTTGTTTCAAAACTGCAGTCGTCTTTCTTTAAGGAAGTTGTGGGTTTTATTTATTAATATGTTCTTCTTTTTTAATAAAAATGTAAACAGAAAAATATATATGGCTTTATACTTTTTGGGAAATACCGTGCATATATGCAACATTAAGGTAAACATTCAATTTTCTTAGTTTATTTAAGAATATTACCAGTAATGGGTCAAGAAAGTTTCTTGAAGAAACTTAGAAAATTGAATGTTTACCTTAATGTTTAGCCCGGTTCTTGATTCCTTTAGGCCATATTAGTATCTGTGATACAATTTGCCGTGAGCAGTCTTCGTTGCATAATATGTACCGATTGATGTCCTTACATCTCGCATTTGTTGGCTTACCAGCCCAGTATATAAGCTCAGGGAGTCCTTTGTTTTGGGTATGTTCCACTACACCAAGTTGGAGTGCGTTCAGGAACATTTACCTCGGTAAAGTGTTACCATGGTAAAGTAAATCCTCAGAAATGTCAAAGTGCTGTCAAGGTCAATTCCCCCTCTTGCATAAGCAAGAACACTACAATGTAGTGTTCTTGGGCATAAGTGCAATTGACGTATACTTTAACCTAAAAAATCATAATATTGGTAACTATATTTTTGCATATTGGTGTCTATAATTTCACAGCAAAATAAAACAAGACATGGAGTTTGCAGCAATTTTTATGATTTCTGAACATTTTCTTTTTAATAATTCCTCGTCGTAATAATAATAAAATGAGCGACCATCTAATGCAAAACTGTATTAGCGAGGAGGCAGAGAGAGCAAGATATCATATACGTGACAAATATGACAATCTAAATATAGAATTAAGAAACAGCACAAATGACAAGGTAGACGAGACCAGTCTAGAAAAAATCATAGAATGGGCGGAGGATATAGTCCCGCAACAGGAAGAGCAATTTAGATGAGAAACAATCCTAAGCTCAGGGTAGTTTCTCCTTCTTTTAGGAGAGCAAAGTAGAAATTAAGGTAGTTTCAAGAATTGTGTAAGACCAAAGAAATGTATAGAAATAAAGGAATATTTCCCCGCTAATTTTAGGGGGACGACGACAGGGTAGGCGCTCGCTCAACGCAGGCCGCGGAGCTCGCGGAGCGGGAGTCTGCTCTGGTAGCGTCCCAGGCGGAGGATGGATTGGGTTCCCTTGGCAGTGGTTCCGATAGACTAGTGGGTGGCATCCTAGCCGCGCGAGACAAAGCCCGATACCGAAAGGTGGGTGGGCAATAAACCAAATGATCGAGGGATCAACCGACGAAATCAAATATGTCAGGCACTTTTTCCAATTAGGTGACTTGTGTAAAAAAATGAATTATGAATTACTATTGTATTTATAATAATAATAATAACTTTATTAAATAATAAAAAATTTAACAAATTAAATCTTATTTTTAATTAATATTTTCCAAAACGAAAACTAATAAAAAAGGCTGTATTTCAATTCAGAGCTTTTTCAAGAGCAAGTCCATTTTCTCTGCGAACACATCTGTAGCTTTGTTGCGACTGTCCAGCAATTCCTGATGACGTCGCTGTTTCTCTTCCTCCTTTTTACGACAGTTCTCTTGATAATCCCGCATGAATTGACTAAAGACATCCTCCTTTTTTCTGGGTTTCTTTGGCTTTGAGCAACTCGCTTTAACATTATCCAACGCCGTCGTGTCATTTTTATAGATTTCTGCAGAAATATATATAAAAAAATTGTGGTTTAATGCAACTAATTACTTACTCGAACTTCCAGCGATAGACGACGCAATACATTGTGGTTTAATGTTGTGTTTTTTGCCCAAAAACTCGTCCATTTCATTAAAGAACTTAAACTTAACAGTTCCGGCTCCACTACTTTTATCCCCCATATTGTCTAATTTTTTTGTGTTGTATTGCCCCGTGTACGCCTATGTATTGTGCTCAAATTAGGACGACACGTGGCTAAGACATCAACCTTTTAATTGTGTAATTACTTAAGTATTTCATGACTATTGCAATATTGCTGAGTAGCAAAATACCTATTACCAAATACACTCGACCGCAAAATTAACCGGACACTTGATTTTTCCTTAATAAAATTTATTAAACGCCCTGTATATTGATGTAACAACTATACACAGATAAAAATATATAAGATTAAATTATGTTAAAGTTTTTTAGGCTTTAAAATACGACGATGACATTGTTTGATAAAACATTTTATATCTTTAACATTTTAATTGTTTGAAAGAGCTCTTCAATTCATTACTTATTTAAAAAAGCTCTTTAATTCATTTTATTCCTGTTTGTTTTTGGCCTTTTATGGTTTTTTTAAGTTTGTTTTAAAAGTTATTTTTATTTAAAAAATCTGTAATGACTCCCGAAGAAGCCGCTCAAGCTGTTGCACTTTACAATGATGGACGCAGCATACGGTATTGCCAACACACTTAATATTCCTTGAAGCACAGTGTCTGATGCAGTTCAAAGGTTTAGGGAAACAGGTTCCTATTCAAGATTACCTGGACAAGGAAGACCGCGATCAACAAGTGAAGTTGAAAACCGTTTTCTTCGACTTCAAGTTCTGCGAGACCAGACACTTCCTGCTACAGCCTTGTCTAGGAGATTGGCAGATGTTTATGGTACATCCATTTTATTAGATACTGTACTAAGAAGACTGAGGGAACATAATTTAGTGCCCCATCGACCTGCCACTGGCCCACTGTTGGACGCAGCCCATCGTAGATAGCGCTTGGAATTTGTGCGAACCCATGTCGATTAGGGTATGGTTGAATGAAGTCGTGTTCTCTTTACGGATGAGTCCCGTTTTACCAGATTCTCACCTGATCGTCGACAAAATGTGTTAAGACGACCTGAACAGCGATATTCTCAGTGCTGCTTCTCTCCCAGAGTACAGTTTGGCGGTGGAGGTGTAATTGTTTGGAGGCTCGCACGGCACTTGTAACCTTTGTAACCTCAACTCGAGGGCTATGGCTAACGGCAGCTTTACAGTGGTGAGATGGGTCGATGGGCTAATGTTGTTCCTCAATACTTACGTGCATAATTCCAAAAGAAAAGAAAAAAATAAAAATGGGCGCCAGTGTCTCATTTGGGCCAGTTGGTAAAGTCCCTATAAGCCAGACACAAACTTAATGGGCATAAGGGCAATTAAAAAAAAGTCAAGTTATTATTATTAAGTATAATAAAATTTTGTTACCACCGTTGTTAAGGTGATTTCATTTGAAAATGATTATTAGGACATTTAATTATGTTATTGGTGCACCCTTATATGGTCATATATGGTTTACAAAGAACCAAATTCGATATGACTAAATTTAACATGAGCAAAAGTTTACTGGTAATATAAATAAAAACTTGAGCTACGATAAGTAAAGGTTGAAGACCAAGTTAAAGTTTCCTTAGTTTAAAAATACACAAAAGTTTAACGGCGTGTAGTGAACACTGTGTTTCTTAAAACATTACTATAAAAGTGGTTACGACCTGATTAGCTTCAGCTCTGGTGGATCCTGGAGAATTAGAAATCCTACGTAGTGGTTCTCTTGTTGACTCAAAAGTTGGTTTTGACGCCAAAACAGTCAAGGAAAACTCCCATAAAAACTGGTTGAACGAATTTTCCCGATGTAATTTGGTACAGGAAGAACTTTAACATCCTTACTTAAAATGTGTACTTAAAATCCGTACTTAAAACCCTAAAATAACATAAAGATGCCTTAGCATTCAGCAACTACAGTCTTCCAGACTTACCCTTGTTCTAAGGAGTTTTTTTTTTAACCAATAACGTCACGACCGCATGGAGACTAGGTCAACAAAAAATATATTGGATTCAACAACCACCTAAAATGGAGAACCGCGTGGGTAAAAAAAAATTAGGTTCAGCAACAAGTTAATAACTCACCCTGAGCTCATCGTACCACACGAAAAGTGCTTTAGTCGGAAGTATTACAATTAGATTGAGAGATTTACCACGTATTATTGGAACTTTTCCATAATTTAAGCACAGACTTAACTCTCATCTAATCGCTTCAACAACCAAATCGAAAAGGAAAACGTAAACCTTATTAAGTGCGTAGAAGAATATTTAAACAAAAAAAATACAATGTTGCCAAGATGTTGTGAATGTTGTCGAGAAGACTAAAAACAAATGAGTGTTCTGGGTTGCATACTATCAAAAACAGGTAATAAACAAAATAATAAAAATAATTAAATTCTTTTGGAAAGAGGCAACTAAACAAATATCCTTATTAAAAATATACTTAACAATTAGTCAAACTTAAAATAAACCACTTAACAGTTCACATCTATACCGTTATAGATGTACAAAAACTATTAAATAAAATCAATGGGTAACTGTCAAAATGACGGTTACACAATTGCCCCTCTCAAAAAAAAAATAAGAAGTATTTTTTTTATTATTTAAATTATTTGGATCGCAAACAAAATTACCTCAATTAAATCCAAACCAAAAAAAATTTGAATGTGCGGGTTAACATAGAACAAAAATAAGTAAAAGTTAAATTGTGACAGATATAGAGGAGGAACGAAGCAGACCGCTGGTCATGCTACGCCTCTAAACCATAAGCAAGTAAAACGTCAGAAATGTATATTTAAATGGAAAGCAAATTCTCCTTGAAGAGGAAGGATCCTGACAAACCCAGTAAAGTTAAGAATTCGTCCTACAACAAAAAAAGGGAGGCAACCGGTAGTCCTGTGTCTGAAACAGGCCAGCCCTCAACGAATGTGTATAATGTAGCAATACATTATCGAAAAAGTATTACGGCATGTCGCCTTGACATACCGTTAGAAGAAAAGAAAATACTCGGAACGAATTCCGAGTAGGGCAAGGGAGTGCCCCAGTGGCCAGTTGCACTAACTGGAACCACATAGAAAGGACTAGACAAAATGGTGCTACAGGCGATATGGCTTTGCCGTGCATGCCATAGCGACAACTAAGTGTCGGCCTGATCAGAACTTCAGTTACTAACTAACAAAGGCGTAAACAACAAATAGCTACTATACCAAACGGTATAACTCGTGGTAACTCAGTAGGTGGTGGTCTTGAAATACTTTAAGAGAATCTCAAAGATAGGGAGAAGTTTATGCTAGGTGATAATTAACGCATATCAAACGCCTAATAGGGTCAAAATCAGTAATCAAAATCAGTAAAAGTCAAAATCAGTAATTACTTAAGTCAGTGGGGGAGTCTATATCATAAAACATAAAGTGGGGGAATAACTTCCTCAAGAAGTAAAAAAAATTGAGTTACCACATACACGGAAATTAAACATAACTTAACCTAACTTACAGATGACAAAAACAAATCTAGATATCTATATACAAAATACTCATGAGCATGTCTTGCTCCACAAGTATGTCGACATCGGTGCCTTACCAATAAGGTGCACAACGATAATAACAAGTCTCCGGTAAGACTTGACGATAATCACCAGTAAGGTGCAAAAAGATAATAGTAAGTCACTAGTAAGACTTACTATACGATACGGTACGATAATATTATAGAAAGGTCCACAAAGCAAAAAATTTTTAAATTGACCGTCTCTATAATGAAATGAAACTTTTGTTAGCCATGACTTACACCGATACGAGCAATTCACGCTCCGATACTGAATAATTCGAAACATGGTTAATATAAAAAAAATTACTAAAAACAACAATGATTCTCTATTATCTCGAGATATAACAGGATTTATACAATAAAAAATTTCCATAAAACGTATAATAATAATTATTATAATTAAATAATTATTTTCCTTAACCTTTTCAAACGAAATCATCATACATCACCACACACCGTAATAAAAAAATTATAAAACATAAGATCAAGAAACAACATTCGAGGCCCCACGTTGCAGGCGTCAATTTGTGTAAACTCAACTCGAGGGCTATGGCTAACGGCAGCTTTACAGTGGTGAGATGGGTCGATGGGCTAATGTTGTTCCTCAATACTTACGTGCATAATTCCAAAAGAAAACAAAAAAATAAAAATGGGAGGCAGTGTCTCATTTGGGCCAGTTAGTAAAGTTCCCATAAGCCAGACACAAACTTAATGGGCAATTAAAAAAAGTCAAGTTATTATTATTAAGTATAATAAAATTTGGTTATCACCGTTGTTAAGGTGATTTCATTTGAAAATGATTATTAGGACATTTAATTATGTTATTGATGCACCCATATATGGCCATATAAGGGTGCACCAATAACATAATTAAATGTCCCAATAATCATAATCA